GTCTTCTAGATTCCTCTTCAATTCGTAGGCGAGTAATCAGACTCTTAATTGAAAACTCTTTTGTTTTATATCGAAGCACATTTTTGAAATCTTTCCAACCAAGGGGCAGTTTGTCAATTATCATAGCAATATGAAATTGTTCATCGAGGGGCATACCTTCTATTATGATTTCATGAGTAATCTTCTAAGTTTTGTGGCTTTGAGCTTCCACGGGCTTTTCATCCACCATCTTCTAATTCAGGTAGCGACTGACAACATATTTCTTTGCACCTGTTTCTTCAGTATCATATTTCTCCTGCAGAGCTTCCCGTACCTGTTTAGTAGCGTTACAATTATTGTAGTAATCATACAGATCATCAGCAAGGTTGTTCAAAATGTGGTTTTTGCAAATATAATCATTATCTTTTCAAATGGAAATCTCTTTCTGGAGCTGTAAATCATTTGCCTCAGTCTTAGAAAAAGAGTCTGATTCATACGAGTTGAGAGTCCCGTCTGAATTTACAGTTGTCTTACCATTAGTTTGTTCAGTTGATCCAGAAGGAGCAACAAAGATATCTTCAGTCAGAACGTGGGCAACCTTCTTCAAAGTTAAGAAAATTTTCATCTTATCTTGCCAATGTTTGAAGTGAGAACCCTCAAACTTAAATGGTTTGCCAGTGACAGCAGCGGCCACAGTAGTACCGATAATTTCCTCAGTAGCCGTGGCAGTTACAAAAAACGTCTTAAAATTGTTGCATTTTGGTTTTGGAAAAATTGTCACAAAGAAAATTACCGGGATGAGTTGCGTACTAGGTCACTTTCTTTAAGACGTTTCGTCGTACTATCAAAATTATGCAATGCAGTCACATTTCGACGATGTCTCTAGGATAAAACAGTCCATTCAAAAAAATACGATTATCAATTGCACTATAATAAGTCATTCATAGAGATACACCTCCAGATGGTGTTTTAAACCACTCATATCTGAAAATAATTTTAGTCGTTAATGGTGCGATAAACCACTCAAAAATAAAGAAGGACATAAATAATTTGAGATAAAGAGAATAAAGGGGAGAAGAGAGATTCCAAAAATTCAAAAATTTGACGTGCTTTACAAATGAACTGATGAACCCTATTAATGAGTAGGAGATTCAACTAAATGGAGAGAAAATAGTGGGAGAGTGGAGAAAAAAATAATGGGAGAGACTTATTTAGTCAAAACTAAGTTAAAACTAGGTTTTGATGAGTGACACACTATAATTATTAATTAATACTAATTATTTAACTTCCACGTAATCAATTAAAATTAAATTCCATTAATTAATATGGATGACCCTTTCAAATTCAAATCAAAATTTCCAACATTAGTTATCTAACCAAAATTTTGTATGCCTATAGTACCTGGTTTTCCAAACCATACGGTACTGAAAATCACTACAAAATACTTGATAGTGCTTTCCACATAAAATAATTATATGATTGTGCACTTATATTGATGTTAATGCTATTGTTTTTATCGTACTTATTGAGAAAAATCATGCAACAAAACTCATTCAATTTATTGATAAGGTTCCACAATATTATCACAAGGAAAACATGGACGGATCCAAACATTATATATTGATGTGGCTAAATATGAAAGAAAATATGAACTAAATTATATTCAAAATCAGAAATTATATATTGATGGGCAAAATGATGCACATAATAAGAGATGGATTCTCATTTTGGATAAAGTTCTTAAACCACCAAACTTACCTCGCATATTGTTAGCTCTATCATAACCTTTCCCCTTATTGCTAGATAAACTCAAGTCATTAATAGACAACAACTTCTCAACTATCTCCTTAAGTAACTTAGCACTTATTTTTTCAACACTTACAACACCAGGAAATGTTTTTTTACTAAACCTTCACTATTAACATAGAGAACAACAACCATTTGTCCTTTACCAGTAGCCTCACTACATTCATCAATAAAAACACAAAACACTTATGGACGATCATAAAGTTATTTTCTGGAGAACAATCTATTACACTAGCTATCTTTGGGTTAATTTCCTTTATAATGTCCACCAGCGTAAGAAATAGCCCCTTAAATAAAGAGTTAAGGGAGTCATCACTCCTTCTAAATGGCATGTCACACCTCAAAAGAAATTTAATAGCTATAAGAGATGTATTTACACGAACGCAATTGATCCAAACAGCTGATCATAATATATGAGTAGCCAACAACACGTCTACAGTTTTGAACGATCGATGAAAGGGGGTTGTAGCTGCAGGCACTCTGATGCTTAAGTCAGTTCGGGTGAAGAGGTAAGTAAGAAAAGGTTAAAGAATATAATATCTGACCCTCTTGCAGAGGAAGATTTGTATAGTGAGCCCCTGGCTAATGGTCTCCTTTATGGGCTGGATGTTCAAGCCCACAACAGATGACTGTCAGGATAGTGGTTGAACTTGTCCGTCACGAATGTCAGAATGGTTCTGTGAGGCATGCAGGTAAATTTGGTGAAGTTTCCTCGGCTGAGGAGCACATGGGGAACATGTTCTCTACTAGCCCTAACGGATTAGGCCAACATTCTAGGTCGTCCTCGACGTAGAACTGGATTGGGTTGCGCTCGACGATGGATCAACCACATGCCCATTCTAGAACAATAATACTCAACATTCATTTTCTTAGTTTCATTAACAAACCCAACCTTAATACTTTGGTTTGGGTTCATGAGAGCATAACTCATATGCACACAATCAACATATTTAGAGAAACTCCTCTTCCACAAAGTAATCCCCCATACTTAGAGACATTTTAAAACAACAAACATGGCAAACAAAAATTTAGGTCCTTATATTCACTATAAAAAACTCAATTATACAAATAAAATCAATTTTGCAAAATCTACATCTTTGTTTACCTTGAATAGACCAAGGGAAAACAAAATTGTGAGGAGGTTGATGACGACCTATTTTTAAATAAGCTTTTCTGACCTTATTTTGGATTTTAAGGCAATAGTTTGAAATTGAAGTCCTAATTCCAATATCCATTTTCAATAATTCGTAATCAATAACTTTAATAATCTCACTTGGATGTTGAGTTTTTGATGCTTCTAGATTATCCAAAAAACGTAGCTTTATCTTTAAGCACATGAAAAAATCAATCGTTAGTTGGTCCAATGGTGATTGACGTTGGACATGGTAGGAAGGATCACAGCTAGATCCCCTTCAACTGCGATCGGGAGGAGGCTGGAACCATTTGATAGCAGAATTGACCCCGAACCGAATTAGTCGGTGGTGAAAACCTAATATATATATATATATATATATATATATATATATATATATATATATATATATATATATATATAAAATACAAAAAAAATGAAAATTTGTTGTGGCTATGCCACAACTTAGATCCACTCATGAAGGAAAACCTTATTAGATCCACTCATGAAGGAAAACCTTATTTATATGATTAAGGTGCTTATACTACATATATCTTCCAATTTAGGAAAACACCAACCATATCAATCCACAAAGTGAACTTAGGTTGTCTGATCTATATTTTTCAAACAAAATAACGCTGAATTTTTTCCATCTCGTTACAAATACTCTAAGGAAGTTTTTCGTATTGAATTAAATAGTAATGGATGGATCTAAATACAAATGTTGATAAATTAATTCTCGCTGATATGCTTAGCCACTTCTAATTCCAACCACATAACCCATCAAGCTTGCTTTTGAAGAAGTTAACCATTAAGTCGGACACAAGTTTGGAGCTCCTAAGAATAGCTTTGATGCACCAAAGATTAGACCAATTACCTCCCCCCATATTGTATCGTCTGCAAACTGGAGAATATTGAAAGAGACATCTTCTACAACCTCGAAGCCTCTGAACAAACCTTCATTCGCCTTCTTCATGATATCGTCGACACCTTCAACAACCGTGACGAAAAGGAAAGGGAAAAGAGGGTCTCCTTGTCTCAGACCCTTGTATAAAGAGAAATTCTGTGTCGGAGCACCTATAATCAACACAGAGTTCGATCCATGAAAAATAAAGATTCCATTTAGCGCCTACACTTAAGATCAAAACTCACTTGATTCAAAAGATACCTCAAAAATCCCCAACTCACCCAATCGTAAGTCCTCTCAAAATCTATCTTCATCAGTAAAAAATTCTTCTTAAACCTCTCTACCTCATCCAACACTTCGTTCACGACTAACACTATATAAAAAATGCTTCCCTTAGGAACAAAGGTAGATTGTTCGATTGATGAGATACTCCCAATGACATATTTCAATCTACCAACAAGAATTTTCGAGATTATCTTTTGAAAATAACTTACCAAGAAAATAGGTTTATACATACTCAACTCTTGAAGGTTGTTACACTTCAGAATTAATGCAAAGAAAGAAGCAGTAGCAGCCTTAGAGAGAAAAACATTAGAGTGAAAATCCATCACGAAACAAATGATGTTAAACTTGATAATCTCCCAGCAACTCTGAAAGAAACAAAAGAACAATCCATCCGGCCTAAGGTTCTTGTCATCGCCACAAATCCATATTGCTTCCTTAATTTCGAGCTCTAAGAAAGGGAGCTCCAAGGCCGAGCTATCTACCGAAGATAAGGATTTCAACTTAAATCCTTCTATCACAGGTCTGACTAGGGAACTTCCCAAGAAATTGAGTTCGAAAAAATTGCTAACAACTTCCTTAATTACAGAGACTTTTTTAGATAACCACCTACGGTATTGACAAAAGAAATATGGTTTTTGTTTGTCTCTCCCTCATAAAATTGTGGAAGAACCTAGAATTGTGATCCTCCTCTTTCAACCAATTCACCCTCGATTTTTTTCTAAACAATATCTCTTTGAGATAAAGATTCCTCCAAACTAATTTGTTAGCCAATGCCCTTCTAACAACATCTTCTTTTGTAATGTCTCCACCATGACCGACACATTCATCATCTAAACTATTTAGATCAGAAACAACTTTCTCAACCTTTAAATCCACCCAACTTAAAACTTCTTAATTCCACCTTTTCAATCTCCCTTTCAAAGCCTTCAACTTCTCTTTGAGAATGTAATCGCATCTCCCTGACACCAAAATAGATTCCCATTCAACTTTCACAAAACTCATAAAATCCTCGTGCTTCACCCAACAAGTGTTAAATCTAAATGGTTTCAGACCCCAATCTCTAACACCAGCCTTAATCCATATTGGACAATGATCTGAGATATCTTTTTTCCTCACACGTTGACCCAAAATATCCCATCTAGATATCACACCCTCCGAAAGCACAAAAATTTCAATTCTGCTCATAGCTTTCCCCGACCCACTAAACCAAGTGTAAACACCTCCAACAACTGGGACATATACTAAATCCATCTCTTCGATAAACAATTTGAAATTGGACATTTCCAACCTCCTATAACAATTCTCTACATCCAACCTATCATTCCTATTTAAAATAGAGTTAAAGTCACCTCCAACAATCCAATCCCCCCTTCCCCAATGCTCTTTTTACTAGTAAAAGAACACCAAAGACTCCTATTTTCCGCAGCGTTACAAGGAGAACAAATGTTCAAAAAGTTATAAACATCGCATCTCCACATCGCATGAATATCCACAAAGCCTTTCCCTCTGAATCTGAAGTTAAGGCATAACAAATTCTTCCTCCACACAATAACAATACCACATGATGCACTTACAGCACCAAGCTCAGACTATTCTACCTCCTTGTTACCCTAGAAAGAAGAAGCAAGATTGACATCAATCAAACTCAATTTATACTCATGAATGAAACACATATCAAACTTTCCACTCTGAATAATTTTACTGATCCTTTTCCTCTTAACCATGTTTCCTCCTCCTTTAATATTGATTGACAATATATTCATTGAACACCATATTTTTAAAACTCCTCTTGCTTATTCCATCTTTATCTCTAACTTCCATACTTCTGAACTCCTCTATATACACCAGATTGCTGCTCTACCCAGAAATACCCAACTTCAAAGCCAATTCTCAAACCTTCCTCAACACATTTGACTCCATATCTCCCTTAAAGAAAAGATTGCCTTGAATAACATCTGAATCAATGACAGAATTGCACCATAAAATAGAGCCACCTGAGAATTGCTCATCTTTAGACAATAGAAAAACACCTGGGGAAGGCCTCTAAGAACGATATAAATCAGCAGAAAAGTCTTACCACAACCTATTAAGCTTTCCCTTTTTCAAAGAGGTATTTTGTAAATCTAATTTTCCGTTTTTCAATTTTCTGAGTTTTTTTTTGCAAATCCCTAACCTACTAAGCTTACCACCCAAGTCCAAACACTTAGAAACCAGATCTATCAACAAAGGGATGTGAAGATCCTCTATCTTTTGAGCTTTAGTCTCAAGTCCTAAATTCACAAACTTAGTCACCCTTAAGTCCTTGTTGACTTCCAACAAAACCACCCCTATGCTGACTTACTACCTGCCACCTAGACCCCACATTGAGCTGAAACCTCCTCAAGCTCTATAGCAATAAACCAGTTACCAACTTTTTTTGAAGGCGTCGAAGACTTTTGCGAGAAAGAGGGAGAGACTATCCCAACTTCAAACTGTATCTTGAAAATAACCATCACATCTTCCCCTTTCTGCATATCATGCGTCCCATCCTCCTCTATACGTCCCCACAGTGGAAACCAGAAACTCAAAGAAAGAAAGAACCCAAACATCACACGGGATGCCATATAATCTTAACCAAGTGAATCTTTCTAGATCAACATCATCATCCTTCCATTTTATCACTTCTGCAAACCACTTCCCTAGCCATTCACTTCCCTCTGAAACCAAAGATTTTAAATCCCCTTCCTCAATATCTTCCAAAAGGCACAGGTTCGCCCATAACGGCGTGACTTTCACTGGAAAAAAACCTTCAATCTCAAAAGAAGTTTCCATATTATAGGTAGATCCAGGGTTGATAACTTTCCCTACGTATATTATTTCAAACCTCATGAAATCTTCGTCTTAGCATATGACATGCTCTTGAAAATTGCATGGTAAAAATAAAGTTATCCCTCATATCTTCCTTGAACACTTTGTCATTGACTGAGGCCCCTTTCCTTTTAGAAGAAAAAGTGACCTTCTTCCCCTTAACCTCATACGCTGACTTAACCATCCTACTAAAGAAAGGAAGGTTTGCATGTAACTTCCTCCCGTCTATGAATAGATTGTCCAACTTGATAGCAAGATTTGTCACATCTGAAATCCTCCATAATTTGATGAAACCAAACTTTTTTCCTCCCTTATCCCTCCTAGACAGAATAACAACTTCTTCAACCTCCCCGATCTCCTTGAACTGTTGGAAAAAGGCTTTAGCTGTCAAAGTTTCTGAAAACTACGTAAAGAAGATGATTGTAGTTTCTCCCATTCCTTCTGGTTCCCAATGCTATTGAACTAAAAGAGACTCATCTTATGGGGCTTCCCTCTCATCTCCTATTGGCGACCTTCGTCCACCTAAGTGCACTACAAACATAATGAGATTTGTTGCACTCAAAATTCTTGTAATCACACATTCAAATGTGGGTGGCCTCCTGATTAAAATAAAACGATTTTAATTTAAAAATTAATAATTTTAAAACTAAAAATAAAACTCAAATATACTCTTTTCTAGGACCATGCGATCAAAATCGAAGAACTAATAACATCGTAATTGCATGAATGCGACAAAAAATCAAATGTAGGGGATTCAATTTCTCTAACAACATTTATTTATTTTAACACAATTTAGTTAATGGAATCTGGAAAAAAAATTTAAAAATTAAGAGAGTTCTTTCATAACTTTCACTTTAGAACGAGAATACAATAGAAAATATAACATAATTTCTTTCATAATTTTCACTAAATAGATTATAACCCTTCATAAAATTCATATATTATTAAGACAAAAAGAAGGATTAGCAAGAGATTTTCTAAGAAATGAGAACCAAAATGCTGAAATATTTAGACATGAAATATTCAACATTCATTAAATCACAAAATATAGGAACATTTTCATTTTTTTACACTTGATTTCAGGAGTGTGTCCCATAATCCTATTCAATTAAACTCTATTCATTCCAACAAAACTTTTACTAGATTATATTAAATATAATATCATATCTTTAAAATTATCCACTTAAGTGCAAAATAATTTAAATGAGAAAAACTAAATCACAAAAACGGTTAGATTGTGTTTTAGAATCCTTTTATCCTCTCTTGTTGATGTACGATGTCTTGTATGAATTATTTTATCCCTATAATTTTACGGCAAATTAACAAAATTGTTATAGCAAGTCCCCTATGAAATAACTCACTAACAACCACTCAGAGCTTTCTGTTTCTAGTCTGCCAACGTAAGCAGTGTTAGGTAACGTACAAATCGTTAATTTTCTGTCCCACTACTCGAGGTCTCTTATCCCTATTCAACTGGCTTAAGTAGAAAATTTTCCCTAGGTCTAATACATAGGCTACGGGTCAGGAATCCTTATACATCTAATAACATATTAACAAAGTATCTCAAATAATAAGCATTAAGTATAAGAAACAAATGAGTAAAATTATAAGTCATACAAAGTTTTTTTTTTGACAAATTATAAGTCATACAAAGTTAAACCGCCATATAATACCAATAAGATTGAATAAAGCTCATCATAACACAACCTAACCTAGGAGAATTTATCTACACATAGTAACAATTACAATACCAATTGAATAAAGATGAACACCATATGAATTCACTTGAAGGATTGGCCTTCAATGGCTTCCAATGCTCTCAAAATCACCCTCTGATGTTGTAAAAGCGTGCTCACAGTGCCAAATTTCATAACCCTTGTAAAATGCAGAAAATCCCCTTTTAAAGCTGTCAGAACATGTCAGAACGCGTCAGAAAAAGCCCAAAAAAGTCGTCTTTGCGCGCATAATGGAAGCATCGCATGCGCGATGACCTTTTTGCCTTTCTACCGCTAACCCGATAGGGTGTGATGTTACATGTAATTATTACAGTAGCTATATATTTTTCACCAAAATTTTCACTAAGTCTCATTCTTTCATACTTGACTATTTTCCACTCATTCTTGGGTCTTTCTTCATCATTTTTGCTCCTCTTTTGATCATTTTTATCCAATTCTTCGACTGATTATATGTAATGACAGACTATCATCACAACCCCAAACTTGAATCACTGATTGTCCTTGTCGCTACTGCGAAAATCGGCGCCGGCTGAACAGAAGAGTCGCCACCGTGCGTTATTTATCCCATGGGAGGGAAAGGAAACGCTCAGAGTAAACCTCGCACAACACGGGAAAGGTATGGTCATCGCAACCAAAACCTGGATTCGGGAGTCGGTTACGCAAGGGGAAGGTGTTAGCACCCCTCACGTCCGTCGTACTCGACGGGATCCACGCTTGTTTTCGGGTATGGATTATTATTCTATCTACTCTACAGGGTTAAGGGTTAAAAAGAAAAGAAAATGAAAATAAAATGACTCGGCAAAGTATCGTACTTTATGCCTACGTATTCCCGTCTGGAACGAGAAATCAGAGTCAACGTAGTTCGCCTACCTACGGGAAAGGAGGGGAAGGTTGCTCGCTAGGATATCGCATCCTATGCCTACGTACTTTCATACAGCATGAAAGATCAGAGCAAACGTAGTTCGGGCTACGCACGACACAGGCTTGTCTTGGTTGATTTTATTCCTTCTGAAAAAGGTTTTCTTGATTAGCAGTTCCGGCGGACAAAAATGACGTCTTGATGAGTTCACATTCTTTTACGGAAGAAGTGTCTTTTATTGTATTTGAAATCTTATTGTGTTTTTCTGTTTGTTTTGAGAGAGAAGAGACAGAACTCTAACCTGTGGTTGCGAAGGGAGACAAACTAACCTAATGTTATCATGCATGGGTTAAGACCTAGTGTCTATCATGCTCCTCTCTTGCGCAGAGAGAAACAGAGATCCTAAGGGAATAGACGGGAACAGAAACAATATCAGATATATACAGTAAAACAGTAAAATGCATGAATGCAGCAATACAAGCGAGGCAAGGGAGTCCCACTCAACCTCGAACCTAGAAAACAATAGGCAAAAGTGAACAGGCTTCACCTTCAACCCAACAGGGTAAGCAGCAAACAATACAGTCAGGAAAACCAATCAATACATCAAGAAATGAAATACAGCAAAATAAACAGCCACAGCAGCTCTGCATCAATATCTATCTTCAAGTCATCTCCAATTAACTACAAGCTTCAGTCAGCAGCAGTCTCTATCTTCACAGTCTTCAAGCAAAGATCTTGAGCACCAGTCCTTAGTCTACAATGGCTTTTCTTCAAGTCTCAGTCTCCAGGAGAAACATCAGTCGACAGGA